TTTGGAAAGACAACATCATCAGTACACTTGAAATTAGGATACACCACTTGATTTGTTTCCAAATAATGGGCTCCTTTTTCAGACAACACTTTTTTGAAATTTTCAGTGTCTCCAAATAGTTGATTAACAACAACACGAGGATTTTCTTTTTCTATCGAATCTTTGTTTGAAGAGACCTTTTTGTCCGATTCGTCATCATCATTTTCATCATCACTGCTATCCGTTTGACTATCTCGGATATCCACAAACTCAGAATCACAATCTTTTGAAGTTGAAGGTTTGTCAGTGTCAATCTTAACCCCAAATCCTTAAGTTTTTCTTTTCCTTTAGATTTTGATGCAACATTAATGACAGACAACAGAGAACAATCAACATCCTCAATATCACTAATTTCGCTAATATTGTCAGAGTTATCTTCAATATCGGCAAAATTAGATTGAGAATCAGATGTCGAATTCTGAGTCTTTTTCAAAATTTTGATTTCTTCTGATTTTGTCAAAGTATCATTCACAATGTTAACCAATTCATTTGTATCAAGACATTCATCAATTTTGACAATTCCATAAGCATATCTATAATCAGGAATTTTGTCAAACTCAGCAATGTTTTTCTCACAATCATATGAAATATTAGCTACCTTCGCTCTTTCGTATGCTAGAAAATGTAATAATTTCCTATGTTATTCCTTACTAATATCACACGAATGATGCAATGCAGTTAATTTCACATATAGACGTTTAGCAGAATTGCAGTAGATATTTCGTTGAGCTAACAAAAGTTTTACATCACTAGATAACGAATCACGATCACACATAATGTTTGTTATTTGCAATTCTAAACATTCTATCTTGACCACTTTCGAATCTAACTTCTTCTGTGTCTCTAACAACTGATTGCTTAATTTCTTAGCTTCATTACTAGCAGAAACAACCAAATTATCGAAATAAGCAACAATATCATCAAAAGCAACAATTTCAGAATCATATGCACTCAAAGGAATATTGAAAGATTGAAGAATGTTACGTACCTTTGTTGTCATTGGAGACTTATCAACAGATTTTGACACAAAGCAACGGCCCTTGACCTCTTTGTTTGAATCTTCCTCCAGCATCGCATACATTGTCCCATGCGTAGGATTACACATTTCCTCATCTTCGGAGCCCGAAGACCAGATTTGATATGTGCCATCATTCTCCTGTTCACCTTGAGCCACCAAAGACAGATTTTTCGCCTTCGTACGTACTTCTTCCAACCTCTCCACATAATATGCCTCATCCTTCACTCTATTCTTCTTCTCATCTTTCTATCGAAGCATATAATCATTTGCTAAATGATTGGCTCCATTGCAATAGTGACAATCCATACCAGAATCTCCTTTCAGTTTCTTCTCTTTCTTTTCCTCAGCACCCTTCGCATCATTCTTCTCATACTTCTTCTTCTCTTCTCCTGCAGCTTTGTTCACGAAACTTCCTTTTCCTTCACTTTGTTTCACCTTTGAATTAAACGGTTTCTTGAAAAACTTTTTGACTCGGTTGTTAGAGTAAAAAGCAATTGCCTCATCATCCGAATTCATTATAAACCCCTCTTCATCATCAGAATCACATTTTTCTACAGTTTCCCTTTCAGTCACTTTTGAGACAAGTGCTAATGGACCTCCCAGACTGAGCTTCGACTCTTCTTCCATTTCATTCACTTCACTTTCGTGAGTTTTCAGTTGATTATACAAATCATTCAAAGAAGATGTGTTGAAACTTTGTTGATTTTTCACCATCATGCTAACGCTTCTCCATTCTTTGCGGAGTCCCATAACAAAGGTGAGATTGAATTCCATGGCAGACCTTGTGATTCCATAACGATTGCATTTGTATATCAGGTCATTCAGCCTATCATAGTAACTTTCAATCGTTTCACCATCTTTTTGCTTGAAATCCTTCAATTCAATCAAACATTGCTTAACTGAATTGATTTTCGTCTTCTCGCTGCCTTGAAACTTTTCTTTAAGATTATTCCAGATTTCCTTTGCAGTTGTACAACTTCTAACATAGTTATACATCACCGGAGGCAATGCACCACGCAACTCCCTTATGCATCGTTTTTCAAGTTTCTTCATACGATCATTTTGATTTTCCACACTCATAGTACTGGATGAAGATCCAATTGGTTGAAGGTTCGTTGGAAGAGTAACATTCCCTGAGATGCAAGTCCAAAGCTCTTCATTGATTCCATTCAAGTAATCCTGCATACGATCAGACCACTGATCATAGTATTCAGGAATGAGCATAGGTATCTTAGTTGAAGATCCTAGCAGATGAGAGTATGAAGTCATCGAGTTAAAATTGAATTTCGCCATTGATGTACGGAAGAAATTTTTTTGAGAATTTATGAGAAATCAAAGAGAATTTGAAAGCAAATTGCTGAATTGAACAGAAAAACAAAGTAGAATACTCGATTCAACAAATCTGTTGCAGAATCGAATCATAACTCAAGATCTAGAAAACTTTTTCACGTCAAAAGATGCAGAACTTTTTGAACCAGAATTTTGATTCAAAAACCTTTTGAAACAGAATGAAAATTAGATATCAGATCATGATTCCTGTTCTGATACCAATTGATGAATCGTAGAATCAAGTATTAATCAAAATCAGAGTTAAACGAATGCAGATTGAACAAACGATGTAAATAAGATCTGGTTTCTGCTCATTTACGCTTTCAACTTTTACAGAGAAAATAAACAGGTTCTGTTAAAGACTCTTATCTAACTCTAGTAAAGTTCCATATTTATAGGAACAGTGAAAACATACAAAAAATACTAAGGCATAGACAATTAAGCTTCGTACGAAATACACATCAGTAAATAAACTTAACAAAACATACGAAGGGTAAAACAGACTTCGACATATTACAAAAAAATTCGACCCTAACAGTTTGTATTCAATTGTATATTTTTTTTAATTATTCAAATATAAATTAGGATGTGGCATATCTTGACCAATCCGTCTAAGGATTAAAATATTTAAAAATAAATTAAATATATATATTTAAAAAAATACATTATTAAAGACATCACTTAAAACTAGCGAAATGAAATGTTTTAAAAACCGGTTCTAACCAGACCGGGAACCGATGACGAGAGGGTTCAACAATAACCGATTTCATGCCAAAGTCCGAACTAGATTGAAAAAGACAGTTTCCTTGAAAACAAGGTTGGACCGATATGATGGAACGTTAAATAACTGTTTGAGTTGATTTATTTGATTTTAATAGTTGGATTTCATTTAGCCTTTTAAAAAATATAGCCCATTTCCAAAGCAAATTTAACAACTCGATCGACCAAGTTAAGAAGTTTAAACAACTTGAAGATCAACGTACACCACTACCAAGTATAAAAAAAATTCTTTGTTTAATGTTTTTATATCTATTTTCTATTATCTATTAACCTTATAAAACATTTACTACTTTTAAGACAAAAAACATCGAAATAATAAAACATTTATTGTTTTATTATTTATTTAACTATTATATATTTTTTTTCAATTAAATTTCAAAGGTTTCTAAGACAAAAAGTAGGTGTTACGTAAGACTATCATCGTTCACAACCAAAACCAACCAAACTATCAATTAAAAAACTGATTTCTCACTCTTCCACATAAACAACCAAACTAAATCCAAATTTGCATTCTCATTACCAACCAAACCCAACCTTATTTTTTATTAAATAAATACAATTAATATAATTTATAAGTATTTTTATTCTATAAAAAGTTATTATAAATAATATGAAACAGATAAAAATTTGATTAGGAGTAATCTATGACAAAATATATAAAATTAAAAGATATTTAAGCTCATTTTTTAGCATATCTTAAATCATAATTACTTCTCATTCAATGGCCGAATATAAAAATCAAGGGAAAATTTCATATATACCCTAAATAAACAAGGAAATATCATATTTACCCTAACTAATATCTAAATATCATATATATCCTAAATGAACAATCATAATATCATATTTGCCCTAATTTTAAATCTTAATACTTTTATAATCAGTAATTAGTATATAAAATCATTTTAATTAAAAAAAACAAATAAATTGACCATAATACCCCTTTCCAAACACATTACCAAAGCCCTACGTTGATGAAAGATGCAACCCACGCACGTCGCCTCCATGATTCTTGCCCCGTCGTCATCTGCTCCACAGAACCTCGATTGATCACATCCAATTAGCGATTCTGATCATTAGCGGCTTGACACCAGGTAATATGTCATTCATATCTCTAGTGATTTCATCTCTGGATTCTTGATTATACCTACGTGGAGTGTGATAATACATGTGTGTAGTGTGTTTTATGTGATTATACACCTGTGTCGAGTGTTTCAATACCATTGATGGTTGTGTTGGGTGTTTAAATGTCATTAATTATCTACTTTATTTTTGAAAACTAAAGCTTTTTAATGTACATTAATTACACGATTATGACCCATAAAAACTTGCTGTCCATACGTTCATGCATAATCACACAAAAACAACTAATTGCTTTAAAGCTCTTTGTCACTAATATACATTAATTTCAAGAAGTGTCGTAATTAAATTTTGAGTCTTCAACCAGAAGCAATTGACTACTTTATAAACCTAATCAAGCCCATATTATATTACATGTATTGATGGCTGTGTATTCTTTCTACAAAGGCATGTATCAATAGTTTAAAGGCAACCCTTTGTCTTCTTTGATTAAGGCTCTTATGGCCATGTCTACCCCAACTTTCAGATTATGCCTTTTTATTCCAGAAAGAGTAGAAGTGGATGAGTAGTTCATGACTCTTAAAGTTCTTTCCCACTATGATGAGACTGCCGAATTTGCTCAATTTTATGATAAAGCAACTAAAAACATAATATTCTAGATGTTTAAGATTATTAGTTTTTTTTAGAGATGTTAATGTATATTAATGTTTTGCTTATTTTTTAAGATTTTTTTACCAAGATCGAGAATTGATAGATGGAAGATACTTTTGACATTATCCTTGACGACACCTCGAAACCGGTATGGGAAAATAGGGCCGAGTCTCCAATAATCGATTACGTTCCTGCAAGTATACCAATGGGCAAGTACAAGCTAAAATTAAAATACGGGGGTTTCTTTCGGTTAGCGAAGAACACTTGTAAGAAAATATATTGCTTTGGCTCTCAAAAATGCATCCACATAGACACATGGTCCTACAATTTGAGTCAACTAAACGAAGAAGTTATAAAGCGTTATTCATCAAAGAACAATCCAAAATTTTCAATTTCCTATGTTGATAAGTGTGCATCAGGCCAATCCTTTATTGAGCTTGATTCTGATGAGAAGTTCATGGCTATGCTTAATATGTATGAAAAAGAGAAAGATGTAACCATTTACATCACAACAGAGAATAACCACAACTCAAACAATGAGTGTGCGCATAACCATTTATGTGACAACATAAATGAACCCCATGATGATTCAGACTACTGTCCTAGTGAAGAAAGCTATTATAGTCACCTTAGTTCTGAGAATGAAGATGAGCCAACAAATGATGATGAAGCAGCTTACTCTTTTAGTAAGAATACTCTATGCATGAAAGTTGGCACAAAATTTGAAAATGTGGTTGCTTTTCGGAGAGCTTTGAACCATTACGCAATCATAAATGAGTTTGACTACTATATTCAAAAAAGTGACCCGACACGATTCACAGCAAGGTGTGAAAATATAGATTGCAATTGGAGAATTTATGCGTCTGTCATGCAAGATGGTATTACCTTTGAAGTAAGTACATACCTAAGTTATTTTTAACATGATTTCCAATTAAAATATATTTATATATGTTCATTTAATTATTATGCAGGTTAGGAAACTTGAAGAATGACATACTTGTACTCGAAGTAACATGGGTGGTAATAAGCGTGCCACTCAAGGATGGATTGCAAATATAGTTACTGACAAGTTGAAGTCTGATGGGGACATTTCTCCCATGGAGCTTAGAAAGTGGATTATGAAAACTTACAATGTTAACGTACCATACCTAAAAGTATTCAGAGGGAAAGAGCAAGCATATACTGATATGCATGGTAAATGGGAAGACTCTTTCATGAAGATGGATGTATTTAGGGAAGAATTGCTAAACAGGAACCAAGGAAGCGTTGTCGAAATTGACTTTGATGTAGTTGGTGGCAAGAAACGCTTCAAAAGGTTTTTTATTTCTCTGGCCGCTTGTTCGAGAGGGTTTCTTGCTGGTTGTCGTCCTTATATTAGTCTTGATGCTTGCCATTTAAAAGGAAAATTAAACGGTGTATTGGCCGCTGCAACTAGTGTTGACGCTAACGATTTCATCTTCCTGATAGCCTATTGTGTGCTTGAATCAAAGAACACACAATCATGGATATGGTTCCTTGAATCACTTCAAAAAGCAATTGGGACGCCAAGTGGTCTTGTTATCTCATCAGACATGCAAAAAGGGTTAGAAGTTGCCATCATGCATGTTTATCCTAACGTTGAGCATAGAGAATGTATACGACACTTATATAGCAATTTCAAGAAACATTTTCGTGGTAAATTCTTCAGCAAGAAACTATGGAGGGCTGCAAAAACCTACTTGCCTACCAAGCATGATAGATTATTGAAGGACATTGGTGATGTAAGTCAAGACGTCATCATATATCTAAATACCAACCACAAAAAGGTATGGAGTAGAAGCAAGTTTGGCATAACTTCGAAGTGTGATTATGTCACTAATAATATTTCAGAATCATTTAATTCTTGGATCGGTGTATTGCGCTATCAACCCGTGCTTGATCTACTTGATGCAATTAGAGAAAAAGTTATGAAAAGATTTGATAATAAAAGAATGTTAGTGAACAAATGGAATGGTACATTGGTTCCTATTGCTAAGAATCATGTTAATGGCATTTCAAAGGTAAGTATGTTAAATTATAATTGAATTACATATCTATAATCATCTTACCAATATCTTTTTTTATGTAGAACTTGGGTGAATATGAAGTTTGTAGAAGTTGTGACAATAAAGCTGAAGTGAAATGCAAGGGACAACGTTGGGAGGTCTATTTAGATGAAAGAAAATGCAGTTGTCGGGTGTGGCAAGTTACGGCCTTCCATGTGTACACGCAGCAGCTTTTATTGCTTTTACGAGGGATGTTAATTGGGACAAACATGTTGATTCGTGTTACACTATAGAGAAATTCAAAGAAGCATATGCTTTTGAAATTTCTCCGATGCCTGGAGCGGATGAATGGATGCAAAAAGATGGGGAGAAAATATATCCACCTATTATCAAACGCCCGGTTGGACGGCCCAAAAAAAATAGGATCAAATCATCAGATGAGTCGAAAAGAAGACACAAATGTCCACGATGTGGGGAGTACGAACATCGTGAAAAGACATGCAAGAACCCCGCACTTCAAGGTTTAGATCCAAGTGAAACATCAACCTCAAAAAAAATGAACCGGTGTCCGTGATAGTTGGTTGTTTTCAAAAGTTTTTATTGTTAGTTAAAATTATTTTGTTTTTGAAAACTTTGTAAAGTTGTTTGAGACACACAAGGTTAAGTGTCAACATGAAAAAATATGTCGTTAGTTTTTAATTTTTTAAACTTGGTAAACTTGTTTATTAGTTGAATTTGATAAACTTGATTTCTTGTTCTTAGATGTAGTACTTTGATTTTTTAAGATTGCATGTATATATATGTCGATGGTTTTTCTTATAGACTAATAGGTTAATAATTACTTTTATTGTTATCATTTCTCATTTTTATTATTTATCTTTCTAATGACAAATATAATCACAAACATATAAAATAACGTCTTAATGGATTAAAACACTTTTGTTTATATTAAGTCATAAAATGATCATTTTGGGTAAATATGATATTTTGACAATTTAAGGGTATATATGAAATTTTAAATATAGTTTTATAAAAGGGGTACAATAGTCAATGAATAAAAATAATGATTTAAAATGATTATAAAATATTAAAAAAAACATTTAGGGCAAATATGATATTATAGATACTTATTTAGGATATATACGATATTTAGAAATTAAATAGGGCAAATATGATATTTCATTGTTTATTTAGGGTATATATGAAATTTTCCCAAAAATAAAAATAATTTAACCTATGTCAAAAAGAAAACTGCCACTTAAATCCTTTAAATATTAAAATATAACCCAATTTGGGTTTGATACAAAAACTTTGGTCATTTGTTTTTGTTTATTTCTATTTATTTTAATCTTTTATTCACGGCCATTTTTTTAAAAACGACAAATAAATGTAAATCTCCTCTGTATGGGATTAAACTCAGGACCTCCTAGTTAGTAAGGTGTTGTTTGTTTTTCGGGAAAAACCTCTTCAAACCTTTTATTGTTGTGCGGCGCAGCACACGCGCAACACTTTTTATCTCGCACCTGTTTGTTTTTCAGAAGTCTTCGGATTAAAAAACTTCTGCGCGTGTTCTTTTTGGCGCAGCACTTGTTTTGCCTCTTCCTACCTCTTCCAACTTCTTCTTCTTCATTTTTTCTTGCTAAAATATTGATTATATATTGCTAAAATTTTATTTCATATTTTTTTTCGTTTTTTTTGTTTATTCTTGTTGAATTTTTTTTTCTTTTTTTTTAATATTGAATAATAATATTTTGTTGATGAAATATCATTATTTTATGCTAAAATATCTTTATTTTTTGTTAAAATATCATTATTTTTTGCTAAAATATCATAAATTCTTGCCGAAATGTCATACATTATTAAATTTTCGGTATTAAAAAACTATTTTCGAATTATAAAATCATTTTATTTTAATTTTTTAATATATGCCGCAGCATGCAGATGTTAAAAAAACAAACACGCTTCTTATTACAGTCTGCAGCCGTTTGGTCAATCTCTTCTACTATAGAGGATTGCAGAGGTGATCCGCACACTTTATGAATTTTTGCTTCAAAAAAACAAACAGCACCTAATTAGATTAGAACCTCCATGTTAGCCAAGTGACTACCCAACTTGTATTCACGACCAAATAGGTAAAGAAATCACCGATTGGGCGGTATTTGTCTAAATTTAATATTAATAAAGATATTAAAAAAGTAAAAGTATTAAAAAGAACAAATAAATGGTAACAAAAATATGATAAAAATAAAATTATCATTTTACATGATAAAAAACCCTCATATAATGACCATAATCATAATCATAATATATATATATATATATATAAATATATATATATATATATATATATATATATATATATTCGTTTTTCTTTTAAATTTGTCGAGACAAGTATTTTTTCCAAAAAAATTATAATTTGTTTCTCTTTGCAAATTATTAAAAAAGAAAATTAAATCTATGACCAAAAATATAATTTACTAATTTTTTTTTAAGAAGGATTTTAAAACATATCTAGATATAATGTGAATAACTCAAATATATACTCTAATAATGATCATTTATTTTGTTATATATTTATATTAACTAGAAGGAATTCGGTTGCGCCGTTGGCGCTGGTTTGAATTATGTTTGGAAACATAAAGCTGGACATAATTTTTTCAAAATGGCATTAAACGTTATATAAATGGAATTTTTTTACGTTAATGGTCTATTTATTCTTCTCTTGCAGAATATACACTTAATTTTCAGTCAAGTAAAAAGCCTTTTTATATACAAATGAATTTGTCAATGGCACACTAAATATCTATACAAATAAGTCCATGACAGCAAGTTTCCTTTCTTAAACCCCAAGAGTGGCCACATTGCAGGTAGGTGATCGTGTTAAACAACAAATCTGTATATATTTTTAAGTTGTCCTTGCTGATAAACCTAACCTTGAAAAAATGTAGACAACCACTATCATACCACGCCTTCTTCTTGTATCAATCAATACATCCCCTTAAAAACAGGATTTGTTCTGCATACACTTGCCCCATATTCTTCATATTCTGCCTGTGTACGCCAAGCCTAATCCAAACATAAACCAGACAGTAAAAAATATCAGGTTCAGGGTTCAGATATATATATATATATATATATATATATATATATATATATATATATGTGTATAACCATTTTGGCTAAAATTGCATAAAAGCATACTAGGACCAATAAAAATTTGATTAAAATAGTAAATAAATAAATACCACAAAAAATTCCTGTGTCGATGCAAGCACAGAGCCTCCAAACCATACAGCGTGTTTCTGGATAGGATGGCTGACTACATTAAATTCAACCGGTTGTGCCTAGAACCAAAATTAATATCATTATTTTTTGGTTAGTAAAAATGAAATAACATATAATTTATTGAAAATTATCAGTTAATCATAGTTACTTCTACTTCACTACTAAATTTTGCTTCAGATGTATGAACACGAGCACCCATAATCAGATAATCTTCTTTACCTCCCTTTGTAACCTTCGGTGGAACTCTTTAAACATCATTGATCCTCGAGACAACACAATATTCTGAAATAAATCAAACTTTATCCAATAAGCTATATATAATATACATCATTTTTTCTTTAAACATGGTCACAAGAATTTTAACGGTTTTGTCCTTTTACAAATATAAAATCTACCTTATACAGGGAGCGTCTTGTGTCAATTGGTGCAGACTGAATACACTTGTCTATTACAACAGGTAAAGGAGTTGCAAAGCCTCTATTGTATATCTTTGGATTAAAGAAGACCTACATTATACAGTATATCAGAATTATTTTATTGACAAATTACTTTTCTGCCCCTTCAAAAGAGAGCTAAATTAAAGGGGGACAAACACAAACCTCTGAATTTATGGAAAAGGCTGTACTCAAAACAAAAAATCTGAGAATGAAGATAATAAGGGAGGTAAGTGTAAAATTTCAAAAGTTATATCGGTTTTAAAATATCCAAATACATGTCAAGAACATTGAAGAAAATATAATATTATTGACAAATACTGACCTCTATCCATAGAAAGCATATTATAATTACAAATACGGTGGGTAAAATGGTCATTTACTCATATAAATTTAAAAATAATAATAATAATACTAAGATTTACCTTGATGATCCTGCAGACTATGAGTTCCATGATTCTTCTAGTTTCTTTATCAGCAATTTCGCTTTCACGCATGATATCAGATGCAAATGGGGTTCCACCATAAGGACTCTGCACAAGCGCCAATCCTGCAACTTTATCTTTAAGATCACACCAATAATGTGATAATGCAGCTGCAACATCCACACCAGCCTTGCTATGACCAAGCAATATCAAACGTTTACCAGAGCTCCAATACAATTCTTCAATATATTGCTTCAAAACCTATGAATTGTACTTCACTGATGCCTTCATTTTTTTTATAAAAATCAAGAAATCTTGGTGAAATCAGAAGGGTTTAATGCAATTGCAAATCTGATTCTGCCTAATCACAAGATAGAAGTAGATTTTATGCTAATAATCCACATATGTAATGAATTACCGTTTTTTGCCGGGTCTTCGATGTTGGAACCGGTCCTCACCAACATATTTTGAGAAATAGTTTGAGAAACACCTGTAAAATAACTTGTTATTAATTATATTTGTTACCTAATACTTAATACTAATTCTATCTTAAAAAAGTCATTTTAACAGTCATATAAGTTCATAATTCACAAAAGATTAGAAATCTTGATCTCTAAAAGAAATTACGTATACGGATTAAAGGGGTAGCATAGTAACTGTTACTTGAAGAAATAAAATCACCCATCAAATGAAACATCTTCAAGAACACATGTTAGTTACCATAAAAATCATTCGGTGATATAAATAATCACATGTATCCATCAAAAATCAACATACCCTGGTTCAAGCATTTCATCGACCAGTTGGGATGCATAGTGAAACTCTCCTTCAAATCTCCATATCAAGTGGGTTGCACTCCTAATCAACCAAAGAATTTCGTACTCAATCAATATACTGAAATCGAAACCTATATATAAGCAAGTAGAGCATCAATAAAATCAAAGTAAAATTTTTTTACCTCATGGATGAAAGCTTGCATCTCAGGCTTCAGAGGTCAGAGCATAAAGCAACGAAAATCTACTTATCGGGATAACATGAAGGGATACTTGCTTTTTCTTTTCTATTTCCCTTTGGATTCGATTGTTTGAGATAGAAAACGGAGAAGTTGAATACCAATTTCAGTTTGATAAAAAAAACGTTGGAAGCTGTGGGAAATTGGAATCCATAAGAACGCAGCAGGTGAAGAGGAAGGAGGAGTAACGAAAGAAGATTAAAAGAAATTAAAAAACGACAACAAATACCATTGGTCAAAAAGGGCGGTGAGGAGGTAAGAAGCAAAAGATGAGGAGAAGAAAACATATTAACTTCTCTGTTTGAGAAAAGTCGATGGAGGAATAAGGCGGTGGAGCAGAAACTGACCTCGGACCGCCGCCACCAATAAAACGTCTCCGTCCTTCAGCGACTCCAACGTCGTATCTGGTTGGATTGTCGACTCCATGAAATAAAATTGATTGTAGAGAGACATCGACTGTATTAAGCGGGGTGTGGTGAGAGAGGCGGTGTTTATATGATTGGAGGGTGAGGTCGGTAATGAAAACAGATAAAACGCAAAAGAAGAAGGAGAAAAGGGATTTGTCATTGTGCCCTTAAAATGATGATGAAAACTTAGAGAGAAAAAAGTATACTGCTTCCCATCTTTTTAAAAGCTTTTATGTATATATAAATTGCTTCCCATTTTTTTAAGCTTTTATGTATATATAAATTGTGCCCTTAAAATGATGATGAAAACTTCAGTGCAGAGAAAAAAGTATACTGCTTCCCAAGCTTTTATGTATATATAATTATTAGAGAGAACGTCACCAAAAGGGGTTTTCGACCTGCCCTCCTCACCTCAACAAAATGAACACTGTCGATTCCTTCCGTGCTTACCGCACCTGAAAGCCATCTCTGTGGTCATCGTCACCCTCCGTCTCCTTTCTATTGTTATGGAAATGCTATTGTTTAGGGTTTCTATATTTAGGTTCTGGTGTCGGGATTTCTTTTATTCAGAATGGGTTTTATTCAGTTTTTGCAAGTTTTCTGTTTTGTGGAATTTTATTCGACTTTTTTTATGGGTTTCAACTGTGTGGGTTTTGATTCGAATTAAGGTTATAATTGGAGTTAAAATACATTGCCCACATGTACAAAGTTCAAGATGCCTTCTCGCAGTTTACCTTTTTTGAACTTTTTTGAAAAGTAATTCCAATTGTATGGTTCTTGTTTTTATATGGAAAAGTTAATACCTTTTTCATTCAAAATTTGAAGAACAAGTAATCTTTTACGTGTATTGCATTTAGTTGAAAAAGTTGCAATTGGAATAATTCTTTCCGTGCCACAAATCCAATCTCTACTATAAACAACAGTAAGATCATTCTTTTGTGCATCAATTTCATCCATATCTCTACTATATTCTCTGCTCTAAAAATAAGCCATGGCTGACGTCGTTGTTTCTGCCTTCTTCACTGTGTTTTTTGAAAAGCTGGCCTCCGAAGCCTTGCAAAAGATTGCTCGTGCCAAGGGAATTGATTCCGAACTAAAGAAACTGAAGAGGTCATTAAGCCAGATCCAAGCTCTGCTTTATGATGCTTCTCAAAAGGAAATAACTCAGGAAGCTGTTAAAGAATGGCTGAACTGTCTCCAGCATTTGGCTTACGATATAGACGACGTGCTTGATGATTTGGCAACCGAAGCTATGCATCGGGGATTCACCGATCAATCTGGAGTCATCACCAACAAGGTAAGAAAGCTAATCCCAACTTGTTGCACAAATTTCTCATTAAGCACTAGGATCCATCGCAAGTTAGATGATATTTCCACAAGGTTGCAAGAACTAATGGAGGGAAAAAATAATCCTGGGTTAAGCGTGACAACAAATGAAAAGCCAAAAATTAAAAGAAACGATGGTAGGGTAGATGAAATTGGTATTGTTGGACGTGAAGGTGAAAAGAAGGCATTGATTCAAAAGCTGTTGGGGGGTAATGATGAATCATGTAATCAAAACTTTAGCATCGTGCCCATAGTTGGTATGGGTGGGGTAGGTAAGACCACTCTAGCTAGACTCTTGTACGAAGAAAAGGAAGTGAAGGATCACTTCGAAGTCAGGGCTTGGGTTTCTGTTTCTTATGAGTTTGATATCTCAAATATAAGCAAAGTTATTTATGAAAATGTGTCTGGGGAAAACAAAATTTTTAAAGATTTAAATTTGCTTCAAGATGCTCTTAAAGAGAAACTTAAGAATAAATTATTTCTGATAGTATTAGATGATGTATGGTCTGAAAGCTATGGTGATTGGGAAAAATTAGTGGGCCCGTTTCTTGCAGGGGCTCCTGGAAGTAGAATTATCATGACAACTCGAAAGGAGCAATTGCTCAGACAGTTGGGTTACGCTCATCTAGACCCACTACAGAGTTTGTCAGATGATGATGCTCTGTCATTATTTGCTCAACATGCATTGGGTGTAGCCAACTTTGATTCACAACCAACACTAAGACCACTTGGGGTAGGGTTTGTGAAAAAATGTGATGGCTTGCCCTTGGCTTTAAGAACACTTGGGAGGTTATTGAGGACAAAAACAGACGAGGAAGAATGGAAGGAGCTGCTTAATAGTGAGATATGGACGTTAGGAAAAAGGGATGAGATTGTCCCGGCTCTTAGACTAAGCTATCATGATCTTTCTGCCTCTTTGAAGCAGTTGTTTGCATATTGTTCCTTGTTCCCTAAAGATTATGTGTTTGATAAGGAGGAGTTGATTCTATTGTGGATGGCAGAAGGGTTTTTGCATCAATCAACCACCAGCAAGTCAATGGAACGATTGGGTCTTGAAGGTTTTGAAGACTTGTTGGCAAGGTCATTTTTTCAACATGCACCTGATGACAAATCATTGTTTGTGATGCATGACCTAATGAATGACTTGGCCACATCTGTTGCTGGAGATTTTTTTTCAAGGTTAGACATTGAGATGAAGAAGGAATTTAGGAAGGAAACTTTGGAAAAGCACCGCCATTTCTCATTTGTTTGTGAGGAGTACATGGTTTACAAAAGGTTCGAGGCATTCAAAGGAGCTAGAAATTTGAGAACATTCTTAGCAGTGTATGTTGGGATGAAAGAAACTTGGAGAACATTTTATTTATCAAATAAGGTGCTGGATGAATTACTTCAAGAGTTACCTTTGTTAAGGGTCCTCAGTTTGTGTCAACTCAACATAAGCGAGGTACCAAAATCCATTGGTAGTTTGAAGCACTTGCGTTATCTTAATTTATCTCGAACTAAAATCACACATGTACCAGATCATGTCTGCAACCTTTATAATTTACAGACATTGATTGTTTCTGGCTGTGAGAGTTTGAAAAAATTGCCCGAGACGTTCTCAAAGCTTAAAAATTTGCGGCATTTTGACATGCGGGATACTCCACTTTTGAAGAAGATGCCATTAGGGATTCTTGAGTTGAAAAGCCTACAAACTCTCTATGGGATTGTTATTGAAGGAGAAAATGGATTTTCAATAACTGAGCTTAAGGATTTAAAGATTATTCAAGGGAAACTTTCCATTAAAGGACTGGAAAAAGTGCCCGGATTAACGTATGCACAGGAAGCAAACTTATCTGAAAAGAGGCTAACCGACTTAGAGTTGGAATGGAGTGATGTATTTGATGGTTCTCGAAAGGAAGCACTTGAAAAGGAGGTCCTCACTAAGCTCAAGCCTCATAATGTTACTCTAAAAGAACTCAAAATCGTGTCATATGGAGGTATAGAAGTTCCGAGTTGGGTTGGGGATCCCTCATTTAATCAGATGACTCGTGTTTCGATTAGTGGTTGTAAAAAGTGTACATCTCTACCACCACTTGGGCAATTACCATTACTTAAAGAGTTGGTTATTGAAGGCATGGATGAGGTAAAAGTTGTTGGTTTGGAGTTGCTTGGGTCTGGTCTTTCATTCCCTTCACTTGAAAATTTAACTTTTCGAGATATGGATAGGTGGGAGGTTTGGTCAACCAGTACTGGGGTTGTCGGTACATCATTTCCATGCCTTCAAGAGCTTCAAATTGAAAGTTGTCCTAATTTGGTTAGAGTCTCACTTGAAGCATTAACTTCATTGAGGGTTCTAACGATAATTGGTTGTGGCCACGAAGTGTTAAAAGGTTTGGTCGGTGTAGCTTCGTAAATCACCGAGTTGGATATAAGAGCTATTTCTGGGCTTAATGATCATGTGTGGGGAGGTGTTATTGAGTATCTTGGGGCAGTTGAAGAAGTAAGAATGAGAGAGTGTAATGAAATAAGATACTTGTGGGAATCAGAAGTAGATGCAAGTAAGTTTCTTGTGAATTTAAGGACGTTGTTTGTAAGCAATTGTTCAGATTTGGTGAGTTTAGGAGAGAAAGAGGACGAGGAGAATTGTGGGAGCAACCTAACATCTCTTACAAGCTTGTCCGTATTGGGTTGTGACAGCTTGGAACATTGCAGCTGTCCAAATAGCCTTACGACACTTTACATCGAGAATTGTAATAATTTATTGGGAAAGGAGTTGGTAGGAGCACGAGAGAAGCATGTGATCAACTCAAACATACTCATGCTTGATACTTTGTGTACAGTAGATTGGACAAATCTGAAATCGATCGCTGAATTGAGTTCCTTCAGGCACCTCAGGCAACTTGTAATAATCAATTGTCCAAATTTGGAGTCATTTCCTGACCACGAGTTGCCGAAACTCAATGTCTTAACACATCTGACAATACTAGATTGTGAAAGTGTGGATGCTTCCTTTTCTCTTGGGCTTTGGCCTCCAAAATTGTGTTCACTTAGGATAGGGGGGTTGAAGAAGTCCATGTCAAAGTGGGGCCCACAGACATTTCCAACCTCACTTGTGAGCCTATGTTTAACAGGTGGACAGTCAGGAGATGTGAGTAATTTCAGTCAGTTGTCCCATCTTCTTCCTTCATCTCTCACTTCTCTTGAAATATATGAATTTGAGAAAGTGGAATCAATTTCTACGGGACTCCAGCACCTCACCTCCCTCCAACTTCTCATTGTTTCTGAATGCCCAAAGACAAGAGATCTACCAGAAATGCTGCTGCCTTCACTTTTGAGTTTGGAAATCTATGGATGCCCAATTCTGAAAGAAAGGAGTAGTAAAAGAGGCTCCTACGGGCCCCTCGTATCACGTATCCCCTTTGTTGAGATATCTGAAGAGTTACCTGAGGAGTAACAAACTTAATCTGAAGGTATGCTTCTCCCTCCACCATTGAAAAATTATAAATATAATAACTGAATATGCATATATTCTTTCAATCAACAAAATGCATATATTATATCAACATAAGCATCATATTGTTTGTGTCGATATATGGTTAGTGACATGGACATGCAATTGCTTCTTTTTTGCTATCTAATTATTGAATACGATTAAAGTTGTGTACATGGAAAACCCATCATGAATTCCAAATTAAGTGAAAATGGTTATAACAAACATAAATACTTCAAATTTGTAAGAAAAACAGCAGATTTGAAATCCTAAAATAATTTGTGAATTTGGATTGATCGTAGAGTTTGTATTATTCGTTGAAGTTATATTATTTAGATTTTGAAAACTTTGTACTAATATTTAAATAAAGTACATACAAATAATATGAACATGTTCAAATGATGAATTATTTTACATACATGAGATTTTTCGAATTATTTAACACCTGTCACTTCGTCCATTTGAAAATGTCAGTTATTATTCTCTTTGTTCAACAATTCATCTAACCTATGAGTAATACTAATGGAACTCATTACAACCTATTCAAATTGACATTGATCGAGTGTATGGAGGTTTCATTAAATATGTTGATTTTGATTTATTCTGCAGTCTCTATGTTTAAGAGTTAGGCTGAAAACAGAACACAAACAGGGGAGACCATCCAATGTTCCAACATTTTGAAGTCACAACACTTGCACTCTTTGCTTTATGAAATTGAAATCAGTTTCAATGAGACTCCAATACCTCACTTCTCTCTAGCATCTCTCTGTTGACAACTGCTAAAAGAGTAGAAGAGGCTCTCTGGGAATTACAAAATTAATATGAAGGTAATCCCCTCCCTCTGTTTTTGACCTCTTGTAGTTTATACTTAATAGATCAATACATACATAAATTAGATAATAGATTTTTCTTTCACCAATAAAGCAGACGTTAGTGAGTATATCATAAATGATAAGTTTTTGTCATGATATAAGCAAGTCCTATTGTTGAGGAATATGATTTAGCTAGTTATTTAGTAAAATTCGGTTTCATGTGAAAAAAATAATCGATGTCCCAAATGTACTTCTTGAAGTGTTCTACGAAATTTGAATGGATAAACATGTGAAGGCTTGTTTAGACTATCATCTTACTTTCTCGTTCTGATTTTTGTTTAAACATTTGATTGCAGATAAGTGTTCCTGAGTTCTGCATATGCTTCTCTACAAGCAGACAAATCGACTTCCATGGAAAAATTCAGATGTTTTTGTTCACCACAACTGAGCTGTAATTGAATCATTTCTATTTATTCAACTTGTATGAGTTCCTTGGAATCTCATGCTTGTTGTCATGTAACTGGATCATTTTTATTTATTCAACTTGTAGGCATGGTTGATAAAATTCGTGGGGATGTCGAAGGAAAATCCATATATACCTTATTCACTTTATACGTGCCTAAAATACTGCATTTATAGATGTAGATGACCAAAATATTTAATGGCACTTGTTATGGATATAAGTTCTTTGTACCAAAAGGAGTAACAAAGATTCAACTCAACTTGACCGATCATTGTTGATGCTAGATTCAAACCCGAGTAACATGAATGATTTATTTTCAAGCAATATGTGCTTTTGTACAGATTGCATGTTTTGAATTGTTTAGATGAGATGCCAGAAAGCAGCTGAGTTGCTACAAACAAACATGAGGTGTTCTCTCTTCATTTTTCTTTTAGTTAGATCCTTCAGTTTCCCTTTTCAAATTTATTTTATATCTTTCAACTCCTCTCTCTCTCTCTCTCTTCATTTTTCTTTTAGTTAGATCCTTCAGTTTCCCTTTTCAAATTTATTTTATATCTTTCAACTCCTCTCTTCAGATCTCCTTAACTTAAATCTCTTAGCTAATTTATTTACAAAATTTTATCTAAAACTGGTTATGAGTACACGCTTCATCTGATTCATGGTGCAGACTCAATGCTATTAATCCAATATTCAAAAGATTCAGTTGTATAGTAACATAAAAGAGGCAAATCACATTTTAATTATTTTTTATCTTGTGAAATGGTGATTCACATCTATTTTAGCAAGTTGAAATATTTGAAAATGGATTATAATAATAAAAATGTCATAAAAATTTAACACATACAATAGTTTGTTTTGAATTTCGTGTTTGTCTATATAAGTGCTTATTAGGGTGTAACGACAAAACTATACCAATGCACTTTCATTTATTTAAGTAATATAACATCCGCCTCATATTTTTGTACCTTGAAAAATCTTGTGCTTTCGAAAACTATAGCATTGAGATTTTTAGAATAATTTATTTCCTGATAGCTACACGTGTCACTTTACCCATTTGAAAATGTCAATTGTTAGAAGGCTTATTATGCGTAGGATACTTGTACCTCAGGGATGATCTCTTATTCCTTACTGGACTGGATCAAATTCTTTCTCATGTTTTTCACCCACAATGCTCCTAATCACATAGAAACGATAATGGCCTTGATTAGCTGTGTCATCTTGGAACACATATTTCGTCTCTTTTTCTTCTATTTCTGGAGAATTATTTGATTTTGATGGAGAATTGTTTACCTGAAAACTCTTAATTGACCATCTTTTGTGCTGGGCTGCCGTGGCTGGTAGGATCTTTTCCAATCGATATTAAGTCCAATTGGGCCTGTCGATTTGAAGTCCATGATATGTGGACTCTGCGACATTGAATCAAAATCTGGGCCTTGCAATTTTGAGTCTGTACTCTGTAACATTTGGGCCTTGCAATTTTGAGTTCGTAAAATTTAGCTTTTGCGTCTCTAAATCCCTGAAATTCCTATAGACTCATGGATTGATGCTGATTTATTACGTGGATTTTCTCCTCGTTTTTAGCACTTATGCCTATCTCCACTTGTTCGTTTCTAGCAGTTATGCATAACTGTTATTCCTATCTCAGATTATAATATAAAGATGACAACACATTTTAAATAAATAAAAAAAAATACTTTCACTATTATCCAGAAAAAATGTGTTAAATTGGATTCAGCCCCGTAACAGTAAAAGGCGACATATTTTGGAGGTTTGATGTACAATACATGGTTGGTGGTGTTCCAGTTATGTCCTCATGACATCATGGCAACTAATGTTTTCTTTTCTATATCACCAAAACCTTTTTCCATATTACCTTGATACCTTCCATGTTTCAACAATCAATTTCAATTTATTTGCTTATAATTCGATTTGAACAAGCCTCTGGTTGATAGTTTTACATGCACGTTATCTGCAGAGCCGGCCCTGGGGCATGGGCAACCTGGATGACCGCCCCGGGCCTAGCTAAATCTCGGGTCCCCTAAAATTTACGGATAATATATATATATATATATATATATATATATATATATATATATATATATATATATATATATATATATATATATACGGTTTTTATGATATAAAATAAAATATGCAGCTAAAAAAGCATATTACGCTTGTAGTTGAGATGGTAGATTGGTAGTAATTAATGTTGTAGATGCCCGGTTCGATCTTTGCTTAATGCATCTTTTAAATTTTTAATAGTATATTTTACTTAATAATCTATTAAATGTTGTGTGCCTCCCACGCAAACAACTTTTCAGTTATCAAGAAATATGTTTTGATTTTTTTTATATATTTTACTTATTAATTATTAAAGGCTATCTAGGGATACTTTTTGTGCCTCTCAAAACGACGCAAACGATTTCCTTTCCATTCCTTTTATTTATTTATTTATTTTTTAATTTCTATCCTATTTGCTAATTTCATTGTAGAAATCAAATTTTTGTATTCATATTTAATTTGGTATTACTTTGGTAATAATTTTAATATAAAGTTCAACAGTTAGATGTAAAACAGAATCAACTTTCTTTTTCGTTTAAAAATGTTGTTAGAGACTTTTTTTTTTTTTTTACCGTATGGCAATCTCAAATTGTCGATGTGTCTTATGGCTTGCCTCCTCCATTAGGTATATCTCTAATGTAGTAATGTGGTACAAATATAGCGGCTTTGTTCACTTTTTTTGCCTGGAGAACGAAAATTTATGGACATGACATAGCTATGTTATGCATCGAGAAAGATACATTTACCGAAACTTAAAGTCTTCAGACATGCGTTCATCGATGAAGTTTCTTTTTTAAGCGGTAGCAACCTCAAATAATTGTACATTTTAGTGAATTAGTACATGAAATTATTTGATTATAAAATTATGTAATTTCAAGGGCCTCATCTTCTATTTCGCCCCGGGTCATAAATTGGCTAGAATCGGCCCTGGTTATCTGTTTGATAAAATGCTTGACTGAAGTTATGAATCAAACAATAATAACATGCAAATGCAATCCATGGTTAAACTTAGTCTTTTGGCAAGCAATTAATGTGTATTTCCTGACAGGATATACATGTCCCTATTTGCCACATCTAAGCAATTTCTGGAATATCAATCCAATTATTAATTTTTTTCACGTAAAATGATCATGTTGGATGATAAGATTAGTCATGCCAATCAATCTGAAGCAATGACTAATGACCTTCAAAAGTCATGACTTTCCACTTGATGAAAGCTTATTGTTTGAAATGGATGATGTTAGAAATGATGTTGAGATGGATTCTCAAAACCTGTAGCATATCATTTGTTTCATTTCTAATCTTATATTGATATTTAACTTTCATACCTTGTTTTAGTTGTTAAGCGTTCAAAGAGGTTCTTTGTTCAGCATAATATGAAGCAAGTGCCTGTTTGTATCATATCTAATTGACCAAACTGATTCTTAAAATTTGGAATGTGGGTCTGAATACTGCTTCCCAAACTGTAAATATAATAGCATCGAAGCTACTTGTGTTTATCTCAACATATACAAAAACAAACCTCATTGCTTTCTAGTGACCATGATCACCATTGAGCCACTATCTTTGTATGATACTATCTCTTTTGTTGTCTCTAATATATTCTACAAGTTATATTCTATCATGATTGTTAAACAGCGATTGATTTGGTGTTCACATCGATGGAGTTTTCTCCATTATTCCAAGTTGATTCTCTTTTTTCGTCTCGATTTCATTATCTACTTTTGAATACCGCTATCAGTCAAATAACATTCCTTTAATCCTATATTGGCAATTTTTATGAGCATAACAGTTTTAGAGGTCCAGAGGACCCTAGTGATGGTGGAAACTTGTAAAGCAGAGGGTTTAACACATATCATTTAGAGATTGAAGTCATTAAAAAGTTAACTTTTCATGTGTTGGCACAAAATGGTGTTTCCATCATTGCGATATCACACTCTGGTCTCATATTATTTAGCATAAGTATACCGAGGGTCGGTTGTTGCGAAATCATGGTTAAATTTGGAAAATCGTTTCAATTAATTTACAAATTAGAGTTTCTTGGTGACACAGTATGGCCTAAAAGCTCCCGGGTGACATGTGCTTGTCGACCCTAATATGTTCTTTTTGTTATTATAACTAAGTTATATCTATTAATGATCATGGTTAATTGGTTATATGCAAAAAAATAGCAACATAGTTTCACTGATTTGTTATTATCTCATCCTATTTTCAGTCATATTACAACTTGTACTTCGAAAAATATGTTCAATTATAGCAGTGTCATCCAAATTCTAATAGTAAGGCACTTTCATTGAGTTGTTATTATAGTAACTTTTGTAAGTACAATGTTAGGATCGAGA